TCAGCAGAAATTTTTAAGAGTCTAAGGCAATGTTTCTCAAGTTTTAATGTGTACACAAACCACCTGGGCTCTCATTAAAATGCAGATTTTGAGTCAGTGCGTCCAGGAGATTCAGCATTGCTCGCAGGCTCCCAGTGCCACTGATGCTGCTGACCCATGGCCCACATCTGTGTGGCAAGTCTAAGGGAGGACATCTCATTTTCTGTTGGATCCACCTAGTAAGGGCGTTCCTCAGGGAATGAGTCAGAATCAGGGCAAATTAGACCATGTGTGGCCCCACGCTCAACCCCACTCTGTCCAATTCTTCAAAAGTGGGTTGGGTTTTCAAGGTAACATTTATGAGAATGAGGCGAAGCGGGTTCTGTTGGTCTTTATTTTTAAATGTCAGTAGGCACTCCATGCTTCTTTTCCAAACACCCATGCACCGGTAGGAATGTGTTTAGCACCATTAGGAAAGGAAGAACCCTGTCTTTGGGGTGACCGAAATCTGGACAGGAGTTCCAGCTGGTTTCCTTCTTCTGTGCCTGTCCCTAGAGTGCCTGGCCCCAAGACGGGGGTTGTGTTTGCCTTACTGGCCAGAGAGGTTGCTTTGGAAACCCCAGCCTCATCCCAGGGGTTCCAGCAAGGACACCCTGGGCTAAGTGCTTTCCTTGAGGCAATGGGAAGCCCCTCACCCAGAGCAGACCTTGGCTGGTGGGTGTTTTTTTTTCCTCTCCTATTTTTTAAAATTAGTAGCTGTTCCCTGTATCTTTGTCCATTTAGAAGGCTCAGTGAAGAATACTTGCCTGTGGGATCTACCAGAGCTATTTCTCTGAAGAGAGTCATGGCCATCTTAGACATGGAGATTGCCCACAACAATCACAAAAAAACCTTCAAATTCAAAATTGAAGGAACCCCAATCAAAAAAAGGTGGTCACAGGGTAATTGTCAAAGTAGCTGTGTGTGATCTGAGCACAGGAAAGTCCTCCAGCTCCCAATACCTCCCGATTACACGTTCCATTTGCCCTCCCATGACCAGCCGTGGTGAGCACCCCAAACTCCCAACTCCCAGCCTTCCCAGCTTCAGAGAAACTAGTACTTGTGACATATTTAATGTTAAATCTTCCTGTTAGGAATATAATCTGTCTCTCCATTTCGCCGGATCTTTTGTTCCATCAATAAAAGTTCAGTTTTCCCTCCTTGAAGGCATTCTAAAGCTTGTCATGGCGTGCGTTCTGTATGTCTGTTGTTGTATTATAACAACAGCATTATAAACACATTATTTTTTATCATGTATTTTATATATATGCATTAGATAATACAGTAAAGAATTTCATTTTTACATTTCAAGGTAAAAAATTTATGTCTGTAAATAAATTACTTTAGCCTCTTACTTTCCAAATTCTCCAAAATTTCTCTGGTCCTCTCTGTCCACCTAAAGAAAGAAACTGACAAAATTAATATAGAGTTTATTTGGGCCAAGGTCAACAACAGCAGCCCAAGACACATTTCCAAATTGCCTTGGGGAGGAGGGCTCCTGTTCGGCTTCGCTGCAAGCAGTCTTTTTAAGGCAAGAAAGGACAAGAAGTGGGCGGATACAAAGGTGTTTGACAGGAGTTCTCATTGGTTCACAGAAACAACTCTGGGTGGTGATTGGTTGACACTGCTGAACTCTACAGGGTATGGATAAGGGCGTCCGGCACTTGGCACCCTGCAGCGACCTGGCATCCATTCGTCCAGAGTCCACGTAGGAGGTCATTATTTAGTTCGAGGCGGGAGGGAGACACGGCTGCGGTGGCCGCTGCCATATTTCAGCACCCCTCTGTGCTTGATAATTAAACGGGATTCACATTCCTCAGATTAAAAGTTTCTCTTTTTTTCCCCCTCATCTCTTCAGCAGAATCTTTCAAAAGAAGTATTTATCCTCATGGTCTCCGGTGCTCCTCTTCCCGCGCTCTCCAGAAACAACTCCTCTCTGTGTCCCGCGCTCTCACCAAGGCGAGCAATGACATGAGAAGGTCGAACCCCGGTCAGCTGTGAGCGCGCATGCTCCTTGGCCCGGGGGGGAACTGCCTCCCCTTGAGGACAGCAGGTCTCTGCTGCCTCATGGCTCCTGCTGGCCGGCCCTCACCTGGGAGAGGCGGGGCGGAGTCCTCAGATGTCCGAGGTGGCTTTCCCGTTCTTCCACCCTTGTTGATTTCTTCCAGTCTCCTGGGTGGGAGGCACATCTCCATTTCCAAGTACCTAGGAAAATAATGGCTTCATGACTTTATCCACGTCATTCAGAGCCTCAATTTTTTTTTTTTTTTTTTTTTGTACTTCTGAAAGATTTCTCATTCTTCAGCTTTATGTGTGATTTTGTCATTTCTATAATATGACATTGGCTTATGTGTCATTTAGGGCCATTTTATTTGTATTTTCTTGGTGTCTTGAGTATGTTTTGTTGAGACATAATTCTTGACCCCACCTAACGCTCTTTGCCTAAATTCCATGATGCCTGATGTTAATATTTTCTCCCCTACATTCTTTAATTAGCAGCTGTTCGGTATATCTTCATCCTGAGCAGATTTTCAACATATCAGGATTAGTTTGTGGTGGATGTGGCTTTTATAAGCATCCTGTGAGTTTTACGTGCTAATAAAGTCTAAGACTCTCTAGTCTATTAGGCTATAAAACCCACCCACATTGATTGTTTCCGTGACTATATTTTATTTCCTGGTTTTAGCTTGGGTAAATTTTCATTCCTTTGGATTTCCCTCTCATGCATTTGTGCATGCTACCTGATATTTCCATTCTACTACTACTTATTATTAAAAGTTCTTAATTATACATTTACCCTGGTGCTTTTTTCAATGCATCAATCAGTATCTGCCCAACATAGCCTGTTAGACAGCTGCCATGGGAAACTGGTTTTTCTTCTTCCATGATTTCTCCTTTAAAGAAAAAAAGGTAATTAATCATTTTTCTTTTTTAGAAAGCTATTTGTTCTTTTTTTGTAGGAGCCAGCTCCTAGACTGGTAAATTCTCCATCATGAGAAAAGGCACAGTAGTGATACCCAACTGTTTTCTAGTGTCAACTAAAGGAGGACATCAAGCTTTTCAAGAATTAAAGTTAGTTTTATTCAGGAATCTTACTGAAGAACATAGATGGAGCTCTACAGCCAGGAGCAGCCCTCTAGAGAAGTTCCATCACACTGCTCTGAAATAGGGCTTGAGCCAACAGTTTATATATGAAGTGTGGAGGTTCGGTACACGCAAAATCATATCACACGTGTTCAGAAGTTACAGTAAAGCGGAATCATGTGAAGGTTTGGATGTGAGAGTCCACTAGGTTATAGATGACAGAAGCATCATCAGTAATCCCAGCAGGCGTCATCTCAGGTGCAGCAGAAGCCAAGGACTAGATGATTTATCTTTCAAGGAACATAGTGGCTCAGGCCAGAGATGAAGGGGCCGGGCACTCTATCTTGTTTTGTCTTCAAAGTGTTTTTCAAGTCATAAAAGATGCTTCACATCCCAATCCTCTTTCCTTTGTTAGTTGGGGATTTGAGAAGAGAAACAAGGAAGCAGGGTAGGGCCTCAGCAGAGGAAGCGGAGTGGGCATGATGGGGGAGGCGCACGGAGGGAGACCAGACGAGATAGCTAGGAACAGCAGAGCTTTCCAAGGCAAGTCCCATTGTCTCTGCTGCCTGAAGGCAGGGCCAGAGTCTCCAACTCCTGGAACACACATTGGCTAAGCCAGAGGAGCCAAAGGGAAAAGAAGTTTGAGGCCTTGGAGTTTCATGGCCTCATCCTGTTCAGAGCAGAAATATTGAAATCCCTACCACCTACCCAGCAAGCCATGGGAGGTACAACCTGGCTTCTGCTGATGGACATTGGAGATACAGTTAGCTTCCTGAATCATACTAACACTGCATTTAAAATAGATACATCCATTTTTAAAATTTTTAACTGTTGTAAAATACGAAATGTACCATCTTCACCATTTTTCATTTGCAGTTCAGTAGCATTGTCTATTCACATTCTCATGCATGCAACCTCCAGAGGTTTTCATTTTGCAAAACAGAAACTCCACCCATTAAATCCTTCTCTATTAGACACATCTGTTTAATAATTAGTTTCTTTAAGAGAATTTTATCTTCTGCTTTTGTTCCTGTTTGGCTACTTTCTTCTTCAAGTCCCCCTTCCCTGTCTCCCTCTTCCCTCTCTCTCTCCACAGACACACACACACACACACACACACACACACACACTCACACACACACACCCATGAACAGACACATGCAAACAATGCATATGTCCCCACCCAAATCTCACCTTGAATCGTAAGAATCCTCACATGTCAAGGGCAGGGCTAGCTGGAGATAATTGAATCAAGGCGGTGGTTTACCCCCTACTGTTCTTGTGGTAGTGAATAGGTCTCATGATAGCTGAGGGTTTTATAAATGGGAGTTCCCTGCACGAGCTCTCTGCCTGCTGCCATGTAAGACATGACTTTGCTCCTCATTCACCTTCTGCCATGATTATGAGGTCTCCTCAACCATGTGGAACTGTGAGTCATTTAAACCTCTTCTCTTTATAAATTATCCAGTATCAGGTATGTCTGTCAGCAGTGTGAGAACAGACTAATACACATAGGAAGATACACAAATCCCCCAATTTATAGAGATCCCACAGGGGAGGGCTACTACTTCTGCCACAGGGGTCCCCCAGCCCAAATGACCTGTCCACTCAGGACTCTTAGGAAGAGCCTCAGGCCCAAGGAAGCATCCAAAAAGAACCTGCAGAGTTAGCACCCACTGGGTGCAGACCTCTGTAAGGGATTGTTACCTAAGCAAAAGGGATTCCTCCTCTGATTTGCTGTAGGGAATGGAATCCGACCTCACCCTATCCTTTGTACTTGGTGACGGGTAAACCATCAAGCTAACCAAAGGTGCGTGGCCACACTTGGTGCCAGGAAAGAGGAGATGAACATGCCCATCTTCTGTCCCCAATACTGTGAAACTAAAAACCGAGAGGCATGCATGGAGAAAGCATGCTGGGAACAGCCTCCACTTGCCATTGCTTTATTTTCATGGATAAAGTAGTCGCAGAGATCGGAGGGACGCCCCGAAACACCATTAGGCATCTTCACACTTTTTCTCCATCACAGTGAATTCGCCATTCCAGGGAAGTGCTCCTACCAAAAAGTTGCAGCTTAATTTCTGAAAAAGACGACAACAACAAAAATCAGTAGCCTGCTGAAAGAAAAAGAAAAATTGTCCTGTTGCCAGGTGCCAGTTTAGGAGTATGCTTAGAGATGGGTCGCTGTCCTTCAGGGATGCTCCCATTAATATGCAGAGCTGGAGGCTGCAGACTTCACAGCCATCAGCAGTTGCCCAGAGGGATCGCTGTTCTCATTAACCACAGGTAGACAGGAAACGTTAATTATCATAACACTATGGCAGCAGTTCAGATGTGAACCTGACGTTACATTAAGTTCTCTTTAATACTTTCTACGATGTAAATAAAACAATTTGAATTGGTAACTTAAGCGTGTTGTTTTAATGATTAAATAATCCAGTTTATTTTATTTTGGTTTTGAGACGGAATCTTACTCTGTTGCCCAGGCTGCAGTGCAGTGGCATGATCTCGGCTCACTGCAACCTCCATCTCCTGGGTTCAAGTGATTCTCCTGCCTCAGCCTCCTGAGTAGCTGGGATTTCAAGCACCCACCACCTATGCCAGGCTCACTTTTGTATTTTTAGCAGAGATGGGGTTTCATCACATTGGTCAGGCTGATCTTGAACTCCGGACCTCATGATCCACCTGCCTTGGCCTCCCAAGGTGCTGGGATTACAGGTGTGAGCCACTGTGCCGGCCTAAATAATCCATTTCAATGTCGGCAAGGTTGTGGACAAAAGGGAATGCTTATACGCTGCTGAGTGCAGCCATTGTGAGAAGCAGTGTGGTGATTCCTCAAAGAATTAAAAACAGAATTACCATTCAACCCAGGTATCCCGTTATTGGCTACATATCTTAAGGAATATAAATTGTTCTACCATGAAGACACATGCACATGTATGTTCACTGCAGCAGTATTCACAGTAACAAAGACAGCAAGTCAGCCTAAGGCCTGTCAATGGTGGACTGGATTAAAATAATGTGGTACATATATACCATGGAATAATACACTGCCATAAAAAAGAATGAAGTCATGTCCTTTGGAGTAACATGCAGCTTCAGGTCATTATCCGAAGCAAACTAATGCAGGAACAGAAAACCAAATACCACATGTTCTCACTTATCAGTGGGAGCTGAACAGTAAGAACACATAGGAAGAGAGGAACAACAGACCCTGGGGGCTCCTGGAGAATGGAGGGCTGGGGAAGGACAGGATCAGAAAAAGTAGCATATCGAGTACTCTGCTTACTACCTGGGTGATGAAACAGTCTGTACACCAAACACCCGTGACACGAATTTACTTATAAAACAAAACCTGCATGTGTACCCCTGAACCCAAAATAAAAATCTTTTTAAAATCCCTTTTGTTTTAATAACAAGTCAAGAGCAATTTAGGAAATTCTATAGCCTAACATATCTTTTCTTCCAAAGAATGCTGCTTTTCTTTCAAAACATCAAAATATTGAAACAACAAATAAAATACCCTATGTGTGAGGGACAGATGAATGGATGGATGGGTAGTTGGATGGGTAGAAAGAGATAGTGGTCCTGGACAAAGTAAAAGGCCATCTCAAATAGACTGAAATCACTGGGGACTTCCAGGAGTTAAGAGGCACACAGAGTCAGAAAGAAGAAAGTTGAGTTCCTGCTGAGCATTGAAAATATTCAATAAATAATACCAAGTACCAAATCAAGATTATTTTATAGGCAAATCACATCAACTATGGGGACCCAAAAGCATCTGCAGACTTTAGACTGATGCAGAACACAGAAGATAATGAAAAACCCTCAATCTCATTGTACCAGACCAGCAAAATCCTGAAACTCAGATGTAACTGAGAAATTATTACCCAAACTTACCTAGTAAATAGCAAAAATCCTGAACAAAACCTAGCAAATGGAAGTCGATTGCTTATTAAACCACTACTGTCCCTAATGTAGTACTTTCTAGACTTTTTCAGTCATATAACGTATGTGGGTGTTTGAAGGGGGAAAGTCTGATTCAGTAGATTTGGGATGAGTGCATGGAACTTGTATGTGTGTATACGAGTATGTACATGCATGCATGTGTGTGTGTGCGTAGATGTGTGTATGTTTACCCCATTCTCCAAGAGATTCTTAACATCAGAAGAGCTTGAGAGTAGTTAATACATACAAAAGCAAAATTGCTGTCGAGAGCAGTGGCTCAGGCCTGTAATTCCAACACTTTGGGAGGCCAAAACACGAGGATCACTTGATGCCAGGAGTTTGAGATCAGCCTGACCAACACAGTGAGACCTTGTCTCTACTAAAGATAAAAAAAAATTAGCCAGGCAACATGGTACATGCCTATATTCCCAGCTACTTAAGAGAAGGAGGTGGAAAGATTGCTTGAGCCCAAGAGTTTGAGGTTGCAGTAAGCTATAATGGCATCACTGCACTCCGCCGAGGGCAACAAGCAAGACCCTATCTCAACAAAATAAATAAATAAATGCAAAATTTCTAAGTTAAAAAGTGGCATATTGAACCCTACTCTATTCTACACACGTGCAGACTGATTCCTTCACATTCTTATTCTGCAGGCTGAGCCCAGCGGACTGGCTCCCGCAAAGAGGGGTGGTGAGAAGAAGGGCCATTCTGCCATCAACAAGGTGGGGACCAGGAAGCACCTGTAAACATTCACAATTGCATCCAGGGAGTGGCCATCTTGAACAAATGTGCCCCTCGGGCACTTAAAAAGGTCCAGTAATTTGCCATGTAAGAACTGGGAAAACAGATCTGTACATCCACATAGCTAACCAGTCCAAAAGAAAAGAACGTCTCACACCGTACGGATGTCCAGAAAATGTACCGATGAAGAAGTTTCACCAAACAAGCATGGTATGTTGGTTACCTGCGTACCTGTCTCCTCTTTCAAAAACCTACGGACAGTCGATGTAGATGAGAGCTGACCACTACCATCAAATGAAGTTATAAAACTGCCACACATGCACACAAAGATGAGTGCATCATATTCTAGATGTGTAAACGCACCTCATTATTAGAGAATCTATTATTTTAACTAATTATACCACTAGGTCCAAGAGGAAAAATTATTCAATGTACTTGGTAGATACTCAAAGAATATTTGGTAGAAGAAAACAATCTTAAAGACTCTCGATACAGAGAGAATTGGAAGACCATCTAAAATCAGTACTTGATGTAATATTTAATAAGAGTATACAAATACTGAAGACAGTTCCAGTAAAGCTGGGAACAAGAAAGATTGTCCAGTATTGTTATTCTTCAGCATTATTTCAAAGGCTTGGAAAAAGAGAAAGTTGTTATTGGCAAATGTCTGCTTAAACATGTATGTCTTAAAAACTGAGAGGTATCTTGGAAGTCTTAGACACAAATGGGCTCCTTGAGACCAATTTTCTTTAATGCATTTTAATATTTTCTACAAACTGGCAAAAGCAAATCTTTCCTACAATCCCTAAAAGCCCGGGAGAAAATATAAATTTAAAACAACCATACTCCTAATACCAGTAAAAGATAAAACAAACATAAAAGATCAGATGGCATTTGGAAAAGCTCACTGCTGAAATGTTTGTCCTGATGAGTCATCTACTGTGAGCTGAAAATGATAGGGTTCGTTTTATTCAAGCCTACAGAGGCAGTTTTCCTCAAACACAATGGCAGTGTGGTTCAATATGTTATACTGGACCGAGCATAGAAAGTTAACACCAAGACAAAAGTATGCCAAATTGCAGGGTCTTTATTGCCGGCGGCCACGGAGGACTCGCGTCTCTCCAACCTGTGGCGTCGAAAGGAGGGTGCCAAGACTTTTTATACCCGAAAAACCACCTTGGGAGTGGGGGTGAGGAGCGGGGATGGGGATGGAAGTCTTCAGACATTCCGAGGGCTAGTGGATTCTGTAAATCACCTCCTGGGTGGAGACGAGGGTGAGGGGGACTCCGGACATTCCAAGGGCCAGGGGACTTTTGTCATTCCGATTGTTACTTATGTGGTTTACAGAAGTCAAGATAAACATTAGTTTATACATTATCTGGGTAGGGTGGAAATCACAGATCTTAGTTACTTATTACAAGTCACAGGAGCCAAGATGGCATGGGTTAGGACGGCTTGCTTGTCACATTAGGGTTACAGAAAGCAGTTACTGATAAGCAAAAGCTAAGCAGCTTTACATAGTAGTTACTTTGCAGAGCAAACTAGCGGTTTTATTTATAGAAGCCAAGGCCAGCAGTTATTGTGAGGAGAATGGGGCAGCCGTTACAACTTATTTTAAAAACTGCTTTGTCTTTTATAAAATGGTGCTGTTCAGGCTCTAACTCTAGGCCAGCTGTAGCACACATAAAAGTATTTGCAATTTCCTGTGCCATGGCAACGCCTAGAGCAGTGGTTCTCCAAATCATCCCACGGCCAGCAGCAGCACCACCACTGCTGGAGAACACATTGAGAATGCAAATTCTTAGACCTCATTTCCTGACCCACTGAATTGGAAACTCTGCAGGTGGAACCCAGTCATCGGGGTTTGTCAACACCTCCAGGTGATTGCGACGCCTGTTCACATTGGAAAACCACCGATGTAAAGTCAGGGGCAGTGGCGCAGCTGTTGGGCCAGCCCGTAGAATGCTCGGGGCCTTCACCTGTCTGGGACCGAGTCCTGGTGTATAGCTGCCTGGGTTCTTTGTAACTCCGAAATGAAAAATACAGGCCTGAGGCCAAAAGGCCCTGGGCCAAGTCATTTGTTTGTTGGGAATCTAGGGTTTGCCCCACCATCCTGGAAACCCGGGCTGACCCCAGCAATAATCAACTGTAAACTCAGGAGGCTGGGGCCACCAACTGGCTTAGCCATTGCTTAATCTCCAGCACCCAGAATAGACCCAGTGCAAAGCACGTAGCACCTGGTGCTCAGTAAGTTTCTGTGAGTGAAAGAGTGAATGACTGAACTTCCTTTTGTGCCTGTACAGGGATGAGTGATGGTGGGTCCAGCAATAGTGGGTGGCTGGTCTGGACCCAAGAGGACAGATTTTTGGTGATTATGTGTTGTCCAGTGTCTGGCATCAAAAGGTCGGACATCAATGGGGCCCTTGAGATAAGAGTGCCCTTGACAACATCCTTTCCCCAGGATGAGGGATGAGAAAAAACCTCAGAGGCCTCCATCACGTTCCGTGGCCCTGCAGCTTCTGCTCTAAAGGCCACAGGGTTGGCTATCTGCAGCTAAACATTGGGAGCTACCCAGTCCTCCAGAAGAAGGTCTGGACACCTGAGCTTTCTCCTCTGGGGCTCAGAACTGCCTAGGCCATCATAGACAGGTGGTTCATCACTTACCTTTTTCAGTTTGGAGTTTTCTTGAATGGCACAGATATCATTACTGCTTAAAGGCTTTCTGCAATCGCTGCGGGCAATTTCTACATCAATAAGGTATTCCAGACGATTTGTGACCTGTCAGTTAGCAATTGTGCAAATTTATTTTAAAAAGTTGTATTTTCTTTTAAAGTTTTAGCAAAAAAAAAAAATCACTTTCACTCGTGTCCTTTCCGCTTTCCTTCTCCCCCACTCCAGACAGATCCTTAGAAGAAGGCCGAGATGCCCACTGCCTGGAGTCCTGTACACACCAAGATCAGCCAGGACTCTGCAGCCTCCTGGAGCTGGACACTTGGGTAAAGGTTCCTCACCAGTTTGTCACCTCCTTGAAGGCAAGACCTTCTCATTCCATTTCCTGTCCCCAAGCCCAGGGCATGCTGCATGCTCAGTGAGGAGTAGGAGGAGAAGAACTATCAGCTCTCCAGGGCCTGAGATGCCCAGGTTCACACAGGCCTGACCAGCAGACAGCCCCCTCAGCCATATTTGGCCCCAGTCCCTCAGATTCCTGTGAAACCTCCCATCCTCTGGGGTTTCCCCACCCAAAACCCTCCCATCAGCTCAGACACAGTCCATAAGGAGCCATGAAGTCATGAGTTTGCCTGCCTTGTTCTCTGCTGAGTCTTTAGTGAGTGAAACAACAGCAGGTTTATAGCAGGACATCGGTATTTGCTGAATTCATTCGTGATTAAATGCAATCAAGGTTACTTATGATGTCTATTTAAATCTGTTTTCATCTGGCATTAAAGGATTACAGCAGGAGATGAAGGAGTGTCTGCTGGTTGGGTTCAGGTTCACCCAGGCTCACCTTTCCTTATCAGACCTTTCCTCATGGCTAGCGCTCCCTTTGTCTCCCAACCTTAGCAAATAAATGAACGTCTGATCTGCAGTTTGGGGTTTAAATGAGTTAGTCTATGCAAAGGACTTAGAGCAACAGTCCAAGCATTTGCAGAAAGCACTCTGTGTTCGCTGCCTTGTTGACGCTATGCAAGCATCTATGCTCTCCAGCACTCACAGATTGAGGATTTTTGCCTACTGGTATTTTCCTCCTATGCCCACTCTTTAACTATGCCACCATATGCAAATGTCCACCTATATAGAGAGAGCACCTTTACCTGGAGCTGGGCTTGCAGTGTCCTGACCACCAGGAAGACGTACTTGTCCTCGCTTTCTCTGTTGTATTCTTGCATGGCAAACCACAGACACTGCCTCACGTTGGCATCTGAGGCTTTGGTGGGTTGTAATTTCCTCAGCACCCCCTTCTCATCCTTGTGTGGGTTTTTCCCGACCACTAGGGTCAGGGGAATGGTGAGGAGAAGGAGGGAGAGCCACCGGCATCTGGGCATGCTCCTTCGGGCAAGAGACCCAGTCGAGTCTCCTTGTCCTTCCAGGGCTGGAGCTGCTGGCAGGATGCCGTGGTCGTGGCCACCGCTATGGGTGCAAGAACCTTCGTGCCACACGTTGCCTCCTCTTAGCATAAGCCCAGCTGGATTCAAGACAGGACCATTAGGGTCACTCTTTGGGGTGAGCCCTCTCTTTCTCCAAGGAAACCCACCTAGGAATGCTAGTTAAGGAGTCTCTCTACCAGCCTCCTCTCCTTATCCTGAGAACTCCCCTCCCCGTAGGCCCCGAAGTGTCTATGCCTACCCCTCTGTGTGTCACTCTTGTTATCTGCTTCTCAGTCCTGTATGGTGTGACCATGTAAACTCTGGCTGCCCCAGAGGTCTTGTGGCCTCAGCCCTCAGTGGGCTTTCAGCGTACTCTGCCTGCAGCTCCCTGCGACTCCCTGTGGAGTTGAGTGCTAATCCAAACCGTGGTTCTCGTGGGTCTCCAGCACGCTTAGTTCATGCCTGTGGCCCAGTCAAGGGGCTCTGGGGGGCCCTGGTCTCCAGTCTCCCTTGCCCTTCTGATTCCACGCCCTACAGGGAGGTTATGCTTTGTGATGTAATCCAGCACCTGTGTCCTGCCCCAGTGAGGACACCTCCCACTTGCCAGCCTCTGGCCTTTGGTCCCAGCAGATCTCACAGGCCCACAGAGAGCAGGCAAATGCCTCCTGCTCTGCCCTCAGAGTGGGGGAGCCTGTGATGGTTAATACCGTCAACTTGATTGGATTGAAGAACACAAAGTATTGATCCTGGGTGTGTCTGTGGGGGTGTTGCCAAAAGAGATTGACATTTGAGTCAGTGGGCTGGGGAAGGCAGATCTCCCCTTAATCTGGTGGGCATCATCTAATCAACCGCCAGCAAATATAAAGCAGGCAGAAAAATGTGAAAAGGAGAGACAGGCCTAGGCTCCCAGCCTGCACCTTTCTCCTGTGCTGGATGCTTCCTGCCCTCGAACATCAGACTCCAGGTTCTTCACTTTTGGGACTCGGACTGGCTCTCTTTGCTCCTCAGCTTGGCAGATAGCCTATTGTGGGACCTTGTGATGGTAAAAGTTAATGCTTACAAACTCTCCTTTATATAAAAATTATGTACATACGTATAGATGAGTTTATTAAGTTAATAATTATTATATATAAATTTTATAAAAGGGGAGTTTATTAAGTATTAACTTATGAGATATACATATATATATATATATATATATATATATATATATATATATATATATATTAGTTCTGTCCCTCTAAAAGAACCCTGACTAATACAGGGCCCCTCTGGCGTCTTCTGCCCACCTGTGCCAATGACTCTGGTTTCCTGAATGCCTGGCTGCAGAACTTCCTTGGCTTGGTCCAACAGTACCCCTCTGCCCTGCCCTACCAGGGTAAGGGTTACATGGCTCACTCTGACGCCCAGGCCTGGCCCTTAGTGGGAGGAGGGGGTCATGCACCTGTTGAACTCTCAAAGCTTCTGTTTTTCTGTGAAAATCCCAAACCAGCGTCCAGAAAGTTCCTGATAAGTCAGAGAGGCAAGCATTCTTCCCAGGCTATGGGTTCCATGAGGAGGGGTAATGTACAGGAAACACATATGGGCAGGAATCTGTCAGGCAGGTGCAAAGCATTGCGGAGTGTGAATGCATTATGCTGTATTTAAACTTTCTCCCCATAGGTGAATTCTTCGGTTGTTATTTTCATCTGTTCTAAACAGTATTGCAGTGAACAATCCTTTTCCAGTATCTTCATGATGTTACACAAGTATTTCTGTGCAATAAAAGACTAGATCAGAAATTGATGCAAAGCTTTATGCAAATTGAGGTTTATTATTTATTGCCAAAATGTTCGGCACTTACTAATTATGTATTCATGATTTTCAAATCCTGCTGCATGTTAAAAATACTGAAGGAGTTTTGAAACACCAGGGCACACCTCACTGATAAAATCAGATTCTCTGGAAGAGGGTCCAGGAAGTCAGCTGTTTTTAAAGTGCCCCAGGGGTTCCAATCTGCAGCCAAGTTTGAAAAGCACCGTAGTGGATCTGCACGTGAACCACCTGGGACTTGTTAAAATGCAGGTGCTGAGTTTGTGGGTCTGAGGCAAGGCCTAGATCCTGCGTTTCTAACCGTCTCCCCGTGTGATCCAAATGCTGCTGATACTCGGAACCCAGTTTGATTAGAGAAGTAGTGATCTGTGACAATCCTTGCTTCTTCATATCTTTGTCTTCAGCCTAGCCTTCCTTTATGGGATAGGAGATGATTGTGTTTCATTGATTTGATTTGCACTATTTGTATTATTGGTTAAGGTTCCATGTTTTCATAGTGACCCATTGAGTCTGGGATCACGTGATCAGGGTCCCAGGATGCACTTAGAGCAGACTCCTTTAGTGAGGCCAGCTGTGACACCTTGAAGTGAAGCCAAGCCTCTTGGACCAGCCAAGGGGCAGTCAGCCTGTAGGCCTATGTGCCTGAAAATGAAGGCTCACTGCGGTTAGCTACAGGAGGGGTGGTTTGTTATGCAGCACTTCTGGGTCAACAGCTGACTGATATGTACACATTCACTGAACCAAAGCAGTATTTCTAGGTTTCAGACTTTGGAGAAGTATGTGGTAGTGGTTGATAACTGGATAAAATATCCAAATAAATTTTTACTTCCTACTGAGTCAGGCCACGTAATGACAGAGCCAAATCCAGAGAGATTTCTCCAGGACACGAGACTGATTTGTGGATTCTGGATGATCTTGGATATTGACATATTATTCAAAAATCTACTAATTTGAGTTCATCATATAACTAACAAGAGTGGCAGGCACAGAATTTACCAATCCTACGAAGGCTTCTTACATAGCTCATGACAGCTGGACACTACCAGCTCTTGAAATCTGCAATAGGGTCGTGTTTTTTAATTTCTGAGAGAGCAGGAACTAAAGAACACAGGCCATGGACAAAATAAACAACTGCAATAAACAATTTCGAAAGTATTGGAGTACCTTAAAGAACCATTTCACAGCCATAGCCCCAAGTGCCAACCACCTAAAGACTTCATGTATTTCTGATTTAGGCCAACATTTTCTTTTGCACCACAGATAGGGATAATGCCTGGTCCCTAAGAGAAATGCAAAATGAAACCAGTGGGATTTTGTGTGGATCAAGGTAGAAAACAACTGGGAAATCTGAAAAAGAGCAGGACACCCGGCCTTTCTTGTGAACTTGGAATCGAACGTAAAGGTGCTTCCATCAGCGAGCAATGCTGACCAGAGCTCAGGGAGGGTGTGGCTGCACTTGTCCAGAACAGTGGGGTCCATGAACAGGCGCTCCACCCATCCCAGCCTCGGTGCTCTCAAAGCCAAGGGCCAGCAATAGATTTGTTTGACTAACCATGCAGACACACCCTTGGTAATATAAATATGCCCTATCAAATCGTGGAGGGATGTCACACACAAATCCTGCACACAGGCTGGTCAAAGACCAAAGCTGTCCCATCTTTTTGCCATGACAGATGGAGCCACCCAAAGTTGTTTCTGAAAATTCTGTCCCATAAATGACAAATTCATGGTAATGAGCCAGCCAGAAAAAAAAGGCAGACTTCTTACCAAGAAATATTCAAATCACCCCCCAAACCAAGGATGGAGGCAGAAAGATCCCCTAGCCCTTTCATTCTGAAAGACTCCTCCAGAAACTGCTGCACTGTCTCTTTGCTCAACGCATGCCCCCCACCACACCATCCCCTCATCTTTCTGCCCCTCCAAGACTGTTCCCCCATGAAGACCCCAGCAGAGAGATGGGTGTCTGTCACCACAGTCCTTCTCCCAGGGGCAGTGAGTGGTGCCGGCAGCCATGAAGCCCTGGCTGGGTCCCAGATGGGTAACACAGGCATCAGGAGCAGGTGGGGAATGGGGATGGGAGCTGCCATCTTCTAAGCCCTGGAGAAAACATCTGAGCCCTGGAGAAGACATCTGAGCCCTGCAGAAGACATCGTTGTGCTTCATGCAGCCCTCGGGGTCCACAGAGAGCAAAGCCTCCTGTCAGCTTCCGTGACCTCCTCTGACCCCTGGGTCTGGGCCTGTCCCCTCTGCTGAAGGGCCACCCACGATGAGCCTGTCCCTGAGATGGAAACAGAGGGAACACACGTGGCTAACAAAATGTGCTGCATTCCTTTTGAGTGGATGAATGAGAGTATAGAGAAACTGGAGAAGAGAGGAAGGCAGGAAGGCAGGAAGGAAGGAAAGAAGAGATGAAAGGAGGGAGAAAAAGAGGGAGGAAAAGAGGGAGGAAAAAAGAAAGGGAGGAAGGGAGGAAGGGAGGGATGGAGGAAGGGAGGGATGGAGGAAGGGAGGGACGGAGGAAGGGAGGGATGGAGGAAGGGAGGGATGGAGGGAGGGAGGGATGGAGGAAGGGAGGGATGGAGGGAGGGAGGGATGGAGGGAGGGAGGGATGGAGGGAGGGATGGATGGAGGAAGGGAGAGAGGGAGGGAAGGAGGAAGAGGAGGAGGAAGGAAATAGAAGAATGGATGGATGGATGGATGGATGGATGGATGCATGAGCACACAAATCAAGCGGTGGGACCCCTGTAGGAACTGCCTCAAATCAGTCAGAAAGTTTCATTTATTTAACACTCTGCATCTGCAACCGAAGTAATAATGATATTCTCCACTGCTTATCAATGGCTTATAAACAATACAGGAGAGTGAAAACTTCTCAGGGACGCAGAAAGTTCTCTGAAATGCCTTTAATTCCGCCGGCTGCACAGATCCGGGACTACAGACTGTCACACTCCAGAGGAAGAGGGGGCTTCTGCTGCGGAAATCCATGGGCTCTGTCACCACCTTCTCTCCCCACAGGTGCTGTTCAGGCGGGTAAAGTGGGAAAACCACCATTGAACATCTACTATAAAAGTGCAGCGCACCTGGAAAAAAAAATTGTAACATACAAATTAGAAAATGTAAGCATTGAGAGAATCTAGCATGCAATAGGGGGTCAAGATGTATTAAAAACTACACATGTAAATAAATAAAAAGCAAAAACAGTCACCCAGGAACAGGGCTTGAAATGCCCAAGGCTCCAGCAGGACGAGGGGCGCAGGTGGCTGAATCCTCCCACATGAGCCTGGGGATTCCTGAAGGGATGTCTGTTTGGGCCATCACCTGAGCCTCGAAACCTCCTGTGCACTCACAGCCTCCACAGAGCACATGAGGATGGAGGAGGTGCCCCCACCCTGCGTCTTCTGAGGGAGACCGTGGACTTACCGAAGGGATGGCTCTGCCAGTCACTCACCAACTGAGCAGCAGCGGCAAACCCACCCCAAGGGGAGGGTGCCCCTGAGGTTGGAGGTGGGAGGGTGAGATCAGCCCCACTGATCCCGTAACTGATTCAGGGTATCCTCAAGCTCCAGTATCCCGTGGATCACATATGGGTCCTGGGAGGATGACCGGGACACATCCTTACCACACAGGAACTAGAGGGACAGGTTGGGTGATCAGAGAAGCTAGGCCATCCTCCAATCCCCAAGAACATGAGCAAAGAAGAGTGAGGACCACAGGGAGAACACCATCTGCCTGGATCTCGAGGGTCTCGGGAAGGTACAGGGCTGGGACCCAGAGTGAGGACTCCCTCCAGAGACATAGGCCCTTTGGAATCTGCAGGTGCCTGTGTCCAGTCAGCTGGGCTGCGGGCAGAGGGCTCTCCCTGGCATTGAGGGCCAGGCTCTGTCAAATGCCCGCCTTCTGCCTTCACTAAAGGAGCCCTGACCCCAGGTGGGAGAGGGTCAGGGACCGTCATTCTGCCCAGGATCACCCTGGATGCCTTTCCTAAGTCTCCTCCCAAAGGCCTGCCTTGACATTTTTCATTCCTGAGAGATTCATGATTTGGGTTGATTTTATTCTCAAACCATTTTCTCTTCTGTTCCTTCTTGCAATGGGCAATTGTCAATGTCTTCATCGTGTTTCTTACAAATGGTACGCCCCATCGTCAAGTCCATTAAATATGTCCATGTCCATGTCTGTCAAGAAGAAATTGTAGACACTTCTATGAAACTCTTTTTGGAATGAGAAAAATAGAATCAAACAGAAAAGTTGCCAGAAGAGGTGAATGTTAATATTCATGCAAATAAAGATATACATATCATGTGCAATCTTTCTTCTCTTATTTCTAATTTCAAGTTTCTTTTTAAAAATTTTTCTTTTAATTCTCCATTTTTCTACAAAAAAAAAATCCATTCACTACACCAAAAGCATGCACTAGAGTCTTTCTACAGTTCTCTTCCTGATGTCCAGTACCTGACAGTCACATTGGCGGGGTGATGAATACACAGGGTGTGGACCATCACATGATTGAATCCTACACAGCAGTGCAGGCCGTGTACACAGAATGGCACTATCCCTTGGAAGATCGATCTGGGCAGTAACCTGGGATGGGGACTCCTGGGGGCTGCAATGTTGTGTCCTTTATGTGAGTGAAGACTGCATGAAAGTGTTTATTTTGCAAATATTAATGTAAGTAAATATTAAGTTTCTGTTCTGTGTGTTTATTAGGATGCTATAAAACGTTATTAAAGGTTACAGTCATTTCTGTAAATAGAAGTTCATGAAACTCAGGAAACATACAGAGAGAGAGATACCAAATCCAACAAGGCAATCTTCCCAGGCTGGAACTCACATCTCTCCTGAAAATTGTCTAGGAAGCAGACATCCCTTGGGGATAGCAATCCATGCAAGTGACAGTGATACCCACTCATGCCCCAACATACATGACCTACACACTCACACCCTCATGCTCCAACACATCAGCACACTCATGCACACTCATGCCCCAACATACACCAACACACTCACATACACTCATACCCCAACACACATGCACTTGTGTTCCAACACACACCAACAAACATACACTCATGCCCCAACACACATGCACTTATGCCCAAACACACACCAACAACACACATACACTCATGCGTCAACAACACACACACTCATGCCCCAACACACAGCAACACACATGCACTCATGCCCCAACACACACCAACACACACACTCATGCCCCAACACACATACACTCATGCCGCAACACACACCAACACACATACACTCATGCCCCAACACACACCAACACACACACACTCATAACCCAACACACATGCACTTATGCCCCAACACACACCAACACACATACACTCATGCCCCAACACACACCAACACACACACACTTATGCCCCAACACACACCACCACACACACTCATGTCCCAACACACTCACACACACTCATGTTCCAACACATACCAACAACACATTCACATGCATTCATGCCCCAACACACTCACACACTCATATGCCAACGCAACACACACACACTTATGCCCCAACACACACCAACACATTCACCCATTCATGTCCCAACATATCAACTCCACACTCACACTCATTTATGCTTCAGCACACACCAATACACACTCACATACACATTCATGTCCCAACACACAACACACTCATGCCTCATATGACCATATGCCTCATATGACCATGACCACACTCATGCTTCAAATGACCATAACACACCAACACACACACTCATGCCCAACACACACCAACACACACACGCTCTGACACCAACACACTCACATGCTCATGCCCAACAAACACCAACTACACACTTACACACACACTCATGTCCCAACATACCAACACACACACAGGCTCACGCCCCAACACGCCGACTACACATTCACATCTATGCCCTGACACACACCAACTCATACACTCGTGCCCAATCACAAACCAACACGCTCACACTCATGTCTTGTTTTCAGGTGCTACCCTCATTAAGAAAGCAAAACAGAAAGCTGAAGCTCTCCTAGTGATACCTTACGTTTAAATTACGTGATTGTATGCGTATTTTCAGAATTTAGAAAGCGGTTGTCCTTTCCTGCAGACCAAGGACCCACCCAGCCCTGGTCTGGTGCCGGGGAACTCGGGGTTCACAGGGAGAGACAACAGCCACTCACCTTGCGTTGACTCCTGTGGACATGCAGCAACTTGTAGGCAAATTCATCCTCCTGGTCCTCATTGAACTGAAACACAGCATACTCCACAGCACTGGCGAAATAATCCAAGTTCTTATCAGTGTCTACAAATTTGCAGCTGCAGACATGTGTGCCCAGCACAATGAACCCCACAAGCAGGGGCACCTTCCACCACATGGCTGTCTCTAGTGTTGGCACTGGAGGCCAGGAGCGCTCAGTGGAGGGGAGGTCACCACTGCTGCCGGTGACGTCCTTCCCAGCTCTGACCCCACGCAGCACTGCGCAACAGGGGCCCTGAGCTGCTGAGCCTGCCTTTGACTGGTCCCTCTGTCCAGTGCCTCTCTTCACTCCCCCACAGTGTTCCTCCCATCATCTCCAAATAAGGCCGGCAGGAGGTCACATAGGACCCACAGGCATGCATGCAACAAACATGCCTGCACATTTTCAGGGCCACCTTCTCTGACCCCAGCCCAGCCCTGACACCACCGGGGTGGGCGTCTCTAGCTCACCTGCTTTGCCTTCCCATGACTGGCAGAGTGATGGGAATGCTTAGGAATGATAATGGGCACTGAGTCCTGAGCAGCTGAGGGAAGAACTGTGTCTGCCTGTGACCCTGGCTGTATAGTCCATGACCTCAGGGAGCTGTAGGAGCTTACAGAGGGAGGGGCCAGTGTTGGGGGCTGGGCCATCCTCTCCACCCTCTCTGGCACCTCCTGGCCAACTTGCCAGGTCCCCCTCCTGCCCTGTGGCCTTGCAACACCTGTTCTCTGCAGGGGCCAGAGAGAAGCCAAGACTAATGCCAGAGCCCTGCTAGGATGGGGGTGGGAGGCAACTATGAGGATGAGAAGGAGTCAGGAGACAACTCGTGTTGTCACCCAGCTCTGCGTCTTTGCAGTTCCCTAGGCCCGTGCCCAGCCAGTGTCAGACTCTCCTCAGAGGAACTGACCTGAGCTCTGTCTGGCTTCTGGGGAAGCCGCTGGGAGGGAAACAGGGCCAGGAGATGAGCGGGTTGGGAGGGTGTGGAGGTGCCTGAGCCAGATCTGGATGCACTAATGCCCACAAGGGGGCCGTGCTGGGGCAATGACCCTACCTGGCCTGTAGGGCATGTAGATTGATGATCACAAAAAATGTCTCAGAGCTTAGGCCACTGCCTTGAGGACCGGAAGTAAGGGCAGGACAAGGGCTGACACAGGAATAGATGGGAATGTGGCCAGAACAGTGGGCACAGTTATGACCATCTTCTTACAGCTTCTCGATGGGAGGAGACCCAGAGGCTCAGGTGCACTTCCACACAGCACTGGCCTGAAAGTGGCTGGCAGGTGAGGGCCTGACGAGCCTCGTCAGATGGATCACCCTCAGCTTGTGCCTGAGCCCCTGTGTGTCCTCCCGACAGAGAAGCTGCAGCTCCCAGTTCTCATTCATCTTTGCCGTGGCTGCCAGCAGTCTGATTAAAATGTATCGTTGTTGTGTTCCGAGGTCCGCAGGGCCTGTCCTGAGGCCCCTCCTCCTGCTGGTGTGGACTGTGATTGCCTCCTACAATTCCAGCCCTCCCTTGCCCAGGGTTAGAGATTTTATTAGACCTTCAAAAAATTAACTATTGGTTTTCTTCATCCTTGCTGTCTGTCTTTGCTTTTTCCTTTACCCGACTATGCCTTTTTGCTATGACTTTCTTCTCTCCTTTTCCCCCAGTTCAATTTGCAATTCTCTGATTCTTGAGCTTGAAGGGCCTGCTCATTCTCTAGCGTGTGCATTTCCAGATCAGGAGGAGACCCTCAGAGCATGGCAGCAGCAGCATCTTATATGTTTATTACTCAGGTTTCAACTCCAGTGTTTCAAAAGTGCAGCCTAATCTGCACTGGGATGACTTCTGTAGCCCATGTGCTACTTCGAGGTGCGTAGCCGAGTTTTCAAACATTTCTGTCCTAATTTCCACCTAAATTTCACCGAGAACATATTCTATGTGATTGAAATTCATTAAGAATATGTTCAATTGGGATAAATGTTCTCTCCGCTCAAAAAAAGTGAATGGTCTCCAGTTGTTGGATGATATTCTACATAACAAAAGATGAAATATGTTTAGAAAGCTTTTAAATTTTTTGAGCCTCTTCTGAGTTTTACTTGGTGGGTTCTGTCAATTCTTAAGAGAGGTGCCTGAAACTCTCCCATGAGGATGATGTCATTGCTGGTTTTCCTCGTAGCCTTGGCATGTGTTACTTTATATATTTTTAGGCTGTGATAAGAGTGGGCGCCACAGATAGAACTGTTGTAACTTCAATAATTGAGCAAAGCTGTGCCCTTTAGTTCCCCAAGGCCATGTTTCTAATTTCGTAAAACCAGCAGAAAGAGACACTGCAGTCAGAATTGGTCACCCCTGTTTTCACCAAGGTGCCCAACTAGAGGCTCATGAGAATCATCAAAGGAAACTCTCAAATAACCCACATCTGAGCCCGAATGCTAAAGAGTGTGGCATGAACACCGAAAGCCACCTGGTGCACTTATGTGCATCTGAGCTCGAATTATAAATTGAAATTGAAAAAAGAGAAGGATACTATGCCTTCCTTGTGGACTGAGAATTGAAAGTGAAGGTTTTTCACTAGCGAGCAATGCGAACCGGAACCCACTGCACTCGTCCGGAATGGCAGGCATGAGGTCCATGTACAAGGGCTCTGCCCCTCACAGCCTAAGTGCTCTCAGAGCCAAGAGCCGGCAATACATTGGCCTTGCTGACCACATAGACACATCCTTGGTAACATAAATATAATATGTCCTGTCAGATTGTGAGGGGATGTTACAAATTCTGCACACAGGTTGGTCAAAGGACCAAAGCTGCCCCATCTTTTTACCATGACAGATGGAGCCGCTCAGGGCTGTTTCTGAAACTTCTGTTCCATCAACTCTTATGGGAAATTCGTGGGAATGAGCCAGCCAGGAAAAAGGAAGACTTCTTAGCAAGAAATATTCAAATCAAAGTCCCCAAAAACCCCTGATGGAGGAGGAAAGACTCCCCGACACTTCAGGTCGGAAAGATTCTTCCAAAGGGCTTTGCATTGCCTTGCGTTTCTGGCCCACCCATGTAACCCTTCCCCCAGACCCTCAGCTCTCTGCCCCTTCAAGGCTGCTCCCTGCCAAGACCCCAGTAGAGAGACTTGCTCATCAGGATGGGTGTCTGTCACCACGGTGCTCCTCCCAGGGCAAGTGAGTGGTGTCGACAGGTATGAAGGCCCGGCTGAGTCCCAGCTGGGGAGCATATGCACCAGACAGGGCACGGGGGACCTGAGGACTGGAGGTGCCATCTTCTGAGCCTAAAGAGGACATCCTTGTCATTCATGCAGCCCTCTGTGTCCACAGAGGGCAGAGCCTCCTGTCAGCTTCAGTGACCTTCTGCAAAAGGTCACTGGCCCCTCTGCAAAAGAGCCACCCACTGTGAGTCTGTCCCTGAGATGGAAACAGAAGGGTCATGTGTGGTTAACAAAATTTTCGGCATTTTTTTTGAGTAGATGGATGATGTCATAGAGAAATGGAAAGGTGAATGAATGAATGAGTGGATGAATAAATGAAGGAATGGATGGATAGATGGATGGATGAGCACACCAACCAGCCAGTGGGGCTCCAATGTGAACTGCCTCAAACCAGCTGGGGAGTTTGGTTTATTCAACACTCTGCGCCTGCAGCCAAGGTAATGATGATAGTAAATTCTCCCTTGCTTATCGCTGCCAGCAACATCCATGGTTAATGAATTCTAGGAAAGAGTGCAAAACTGTTTACAAACCCAGCCAGTGCTAAGATGCCTTTAATTCTGCTAGTGCAGCCTAGGTCGAGAACTACAGACTGCCACACTCTAGAGGAAGAGAAGACTACTACCGTGGAAAACCAGGGGCTCTGTCACCGCCTGTTTCTGCATTACTGGTGCTGTTCAGGAGGCTGAACTGGGAAAACCAAGGTCTGGCATCCACGACAAAAGTGCTATGCGCCTGAAAAAAGTAATTTTAACACACAAGTTAGAAAAATGCAATGCATTGAGAGCATTTAGCGTGTAGTAGGGGGTCAAAATGTATTAAAAACTATTAAAAACAATTAAAAATGAAAAACAAAAACAGTCACCCAGGAACCGGGCTTCAAATGCCCAAGGCTCCACCAGTACTAGGGGCACAGGTGGCCAAATGCTCCAGCCTGAGCCTGGGGATCCTGAAAGGATGCCTGGTTGGGCCATCACCTGACCCCTGATGCATCCTGTCCCCTCACAATCTCCCTAGCACACATGCTGCTGGATGAACTGCTCCCACCCTGGGTGTTCTGAGGAGAGAAAGGACTTCCCAAGGGATGGTCCCTCTGGGCACCCACCAACTGAGCACAGCGATTGACAGCAATACTGCAGGTGGAAGGGGGAGATCAGCCCTGCTGCCCCTGTTACACTGATTCTGGACATCCTCTGAGCTCACATGGATCACGTATGGGTCGTGGGAAGATGGTGTCAGAACTCAGACTGACCGGGACATATCCTTATCACGCAGGAACTAGAAGGAAAGAACCACCTTGATGAAAGAAACTGGACAGTCCTCCGATCCCCAAGAACATAAGCAAAGAAGAGTGAGGACCACAGGGAGAACACCATCTGCCTGGATCTTGAGGGTCTCAGGAAGGTACATGACTGGGAAGCAAAGTGAGGACTTCATCCAGGGACAGAGGCCATGTGGAATCTGCAGGTGCCTGCTCTGTCCAGCCAGCCTGGCTGTGAGCAGAAGGCTCTCCCTAGCATTGAGGCCAGGCTCTGTCTGCTTACATGCCCACCTTTTGCCTTCACAGAGGGATCCCTGATGCCAGGTGGGAGAGGGGGTCAGGGACCCTCATTCCGCCCCAGGAGCACCTCTGATGACCTTTCTAAGCCTCCTCCCAAAGGCCTACCTTGATACTGTTTTTCATTTTTGAGAGATTCATGATGCTTTGCGGTTGATTTTATTCTCAAACCTTTTCCTCTCCTGAGCTTTCTTGCAATGGGCAATTGTCAATGTCTTCATCGCATTTTTTACAAATTGTGCGGCCCATCTCCAAGTCCATTAAAAATATCATTGTCCACATCTGTCAAGAAGAAATTATACAAACAGCTGCTAAGTATTTTGTTTTCATGAATCAAAAAAAAAAAAAGGCAGAGAAACAAGTAGGAAAGTGGATAAAAGACTGACATCATCATGTCAATCAAATAGGGCTAGACAGGGCATGTACAACCTCTCCGGAAGTCAGTAGAATAGATCCACTAAGTGCCCTTCAGATACACACTGGCCTCTTCCCAATGGCTAATACCTGACAGTCAGATTGACAGAGTGATAAACATATAGGGTGTGACACACTCACACAATCCAATTCTCTGCAGCAGTGAGCCTGCTGGTGCGGCAACCACACCCGGCAATCCCCGCCTCCGCCTTACACCTGAGTCTCAGCCACACACAGAGGGCTCACACTGGATGGTTCTTTTTACACAGAGTGGGAAATGGGCAAGACTAATGCCTGGGATTAGAAACGAGGTCAGCGGGACTCCTTGCAGGGATAGACTGTAGATGGGATCACAGAGGGGCTCTGAGGGAATGTCACCGTTCCGCTTCATGTGGGTGACGACTGCTCATAACTGTCTATCTTGCCAGTGCTCACTGAGATGAATGCAGAGCTGCACCATGCTGTTGTACATGTTTCTTAGGCTTCCATAAGAAGCGATTAAAAGTTATTTTCATTCTTGTATGTAGAAGTCCATGAAACTCAGGAAGCATCCAAACATAGAAAACTAATCCAGATGGGAAGTCACGGCAGGCTAGGGCCACGGGTCTCACTGGACGGCCTAGAAATTGTTGAGAAACCTGACCCAGTCAGGGGATCTGCAATCCATGTTGGGGATGAGATGATATCCAACTATGCCCTGACACAGACGAACAGTACACACGCATGCCGCTATATACACAACACACTCACACTCATGCCCAACACACACCAACACACCCACTCATACTCAACACACTTATGCTCATACACACACGCTCCTATACACACAACACACTCACATTCATGCCCAACACACACTAACACACTCACACTCAACACACGTTCATACACACATGCACCTATACACACAGCACACTCACACTCATGTCCAACATCCCCTCCTATACACACAACACACTCACACTCATGCCCAACACACACTAACACAGACTCAACACATGTTCATACACACATGCACCTATACACACAACACACTCACACTCATGCCCACCACACACTAATGTACTCACACTCAGCCCTATACACACAACACATGCTCATGCTCAACACACACCAACACACTCACACATGCATGCCTAACATGTGCCAAAAACAGGCACTCATGTCACCATACACCAACAACATATGCTTATGCCTGACACACTCACACATTCATGCCCAGCATACACCAACACACTCACACTCATGCCCCTATACATACAACACACTCACACTCATGCCCAACACACTCACACAGTCATGCCCAACTCACCCCACACATTCATCCTCATGCCTGACACACACCAACAAACACTCATGCCCAACCCTCTCCAACACACACACTTATGCCCCAACACACCAACACACTCACATTCACTCTCTGATACACATCTGCACATTTATTATTATTTTTTGAAACAAAGTTTTTTCTCGTTGCCCAGACTGAAGTGCAATGACTCAATCTTGGATGATTGCAACCTCCGCCTCCCTGGTTCAGGCGATTCTTCTGCCTCAGCCTCCCAAGTAGCTGGGATTATAGGCACCCGCCACCACGTCCGGCTAATTTTTTGTATTTTTAGTAGAAACAGGGTTTCACCATGTTGGCCGGGCTGGTCTCAAACTCTCGATCTCAGGTGATCTGCTTGCCTTGGCCTCCCAATGTGCTGGGATTACAGGCATGAGCCACCACACCTGGCTCATGCTTTTACATATATCAATAACACAATCACATACTCATACTCCCATACACATCAAGAACACACACACAACCTGCCTCTCCTTGCATGCTCCCCTCCCCAGCTAGCATGAAGTCCCCAGGTACTGTGGTTGGGCAGCAGCGTAACACACTGTGCCCAGGGCTCCTGCAGCCTCCCAGGGTCCAGGGATGGGGATGCAATCCAAGGAAGAGGCAGATGGCCAAGGAAATGGGCAACGATCAGGAAGGCTGTGTGCCCTCTGAAGGAAGAAGGGTCCCTGAACCCTGTCCTCAGAAGTGTGGTGCAGACATGGGACCCCCCCCCATGTCACCCAGAGCCCTGCTGCCATCACCACTGGCTCTGGGCTATTCAGCTGGGGAAGAGAGTTCTGGAAATAGACAAAATGACTGTCACTCACCTTCTGCTGGGTGCGCTGGACCTCCAGCAACCTGTTTGTGAACTCCCCCATATTGTCCTCATTGAACTGAGCCACAGCAAACTCCACTGATGCCACAAAATAATCTAGGTCCTTACTGATGTCTACGAATTCTTTTTGAATGGTCCAGATATGGGTGCTCAGTACAATGAGCATCACAAGCAGGGATACCTTCCACCACATGGCTGTCTCAGCATCCGCACTGGAGGCCAAGGTCGCTTGGGTGGAGGGGTGGTGGCAGTTGCTGCTGGTGACACCCTTCTCAGCTCTGGGTACCACAGAGCCCTGTCCACCAGAGGCCCTGAGATGTTGAGCAACTCCCTTCGAGCAGCGCCTCTGTCCAGTCCCCCACAGAGTGCTTCCCACTATCTCCAAACAAGGCAGAGCAGGGAGTCCCATACAGAACTTTGGATCCACAGGCATGCCCGCCACATGCTGCCTACACCTTTTCAGGGAAGCCTCCTCTAGCTGCAGCTCCAGACCTGAGAAGACTCGGTGGAGGTCTCAAGCCCACCTGGCTTGCCCTCATGTAGTGCAGGTAAGGCTCACCAGGATCAAAGGAATCTCTGAGACCTCTGGTGAGCCAATTCCTGAAGAGCAGAAGCAGTTGCTAAGCCTGCTCATGACCCTGGCTGGAGCCCACATCACCAGCTGGGCCCAGGAGAGCACAGGCTGTGTGGTCAGTGGGGCTCAGCAGAGTGCAAAGAGAATGTCTGTAAGAGTCCATTTTACCCGCTGCCAGGCCTTCCTCTGCCAGGAGATGCATGTGGCTTCATCCTCCCAGGCTGATTATTAGTTTTCCCTCATTTCAGAACCTGTTCTAATATCCACTATGACTTTTTTTTAAACTTGTGGGCTGTTATAGCTGTATTGTTTAATTTCCAACCATCGTTGATTTTCTAGTTATCTTTTCTCTTATCAACTTCTAACACAAATCCACTATAGTCAGAGAACACCATTTCACTATCTTTCTTTGAAATTTTTGAGTTATTTTTTGTCCAGAATAACCAATATTCTATTAATTATATGCAGTTGAAAAGAATATGTATTCTGTATTTTATAGGTATATAGAGTTAGATATTTATATACATCAGTAAGTCCATTCTGTTGAAACTTTCTGTCTTTTCTTCTCTTTCTCTTTTCTTTCTTTCTTTCTTTTTTTTTTTAAGCAGTCTCACCCTGTCACCCAGGCTGGAATGTAGTGTCACGATCTTGGCTCACTGCAACCTCCACCTCCTGGGTTCAAGCAATTCTCATGGCTTAGCCTCCCGAGCAGCTGGGATTACAGATGTGCACCACCACACCCAACTAATTTTTGTATTTTTAGTAGAGACAGGGTTTCGCCATGTTGGCCAGACTGGTCTCAAACTCCTGGCCTCTCAAAGAGCGGGGATTCCAGGCATGAGCCTCCATGCTTGGCCGTGTTTACTCTTTTTACTTTGTTCTGTTTTATTCAGTTTAGTTTGGGTTTAGAGTTCGGTCTTCTTTTCTGCCAGTTACTGAGGGATATGTTAAAATTTCTCATGATGATTATGGTTGTGAATTTGTGTACTTCTTTCTGACCATTTTTGCTTTATTTATTTTCAGACTATGTCATCAAGTGCTTACTTGACACTTTCTTCGTGGCTGACCATTTTATCATTATGAAATGTACCAGTTTATGCTGAGTAATGCCTCTTGCTCTGAAGTCTGATGTCAGAGACATCAAAACATCTAGCATTGTTTTGATTTTTATTTACTTGAATATTTTTATCCATATTTTTATTCTAATATATTATCTTAATTAATACGTGCCTTTATAAGCAGCAAATAGTTTTTAAAATCAGTCTAAGTGTCTTATTTAGAATGTTTTTTCCATTTACAATTGCTCATATTACTAATGACTAATATTATCGTATGTTCGGGTTCAGATCTACCATATTGCTATTTGTTTCCTATTCATTTCATTTGTCCCTGTTTCTTGTGTTACTCAAGTTTCTTCTCCACAGTGGCTTTCAGTTATCCCTACTCCCTCCTTCTTTTTTTAATTTTTCGTTTTTTGAGACAGAGTTTCACTCTGTCACCCAGGCTGGAGTGCAGTGGGGCAATCTTGACTCACTGCAGCCTCCTGGGTTCAAGCTATTCTCATGCCTCAGCCTCCTGAGTAGCTAGGGCTACAGATGTAAGCCACTATGTCTGGCTAATTTTATATTTTTAGTAGCAATGGGGTTTCACCATGTTGACGAGGCTGGTCTTGAACTCCTGACCTCAAGTGATCCACCTGCCTCAGCCACACCAAGTGCTGGGATTACAGGCATGAGCCACTGCGCACAGCCAAGTTAACCCTTCTTTACCTCTTCTTTTAGTGGTAACTATAGTGATTATAATGAGTATCATTGACTTAACTGAGCCTACCATAAATTAGTACCTTTACCCCTGCAAAGATGATGGGAAAAACTTAGGGCACTATTACCCCTTTGTGCCCTTTTTACCCCCTTCTACCTTGTATGTTATTGTCATTGTGTCCTTAAATTCTACATATTCGATAGCACATATAACACTATTATTGTGGTTTTATACATTTAATATTCATGTGGATTTATCAATCATATTTACCCTTCGTCTGTGCAACATTCCTTCAACATTCCTTAGCTTCTGCCTGGGATTATTTTCCTTTACCCCCAAAGAACTCTCTTTAGTATTTATTTTTGGTTGGATCTTGTTGATATATCATTTAACTTTTTCCAAAAGCTGACTTTTCTCTAAACAACTTTACTTCTTTGGGACCCCCATCCTAGGGGTTCAACCAAGTCTCCATCCTGTCTCTTCTGAGTATCCCCAAAATATTGCTAATATACGGCTTTCAGACTATAAATTTCCCTCTAAGCTCTTCTCTGGCAACATCTCAGAAATGTTGATATGTCAGATTATGATCTTTCAATTCCAATTATTTTTTATTTATTTTGTGACTTTTTAATACAGGAATTACTTTTAAACAGAGTGGTAAATTTACAGACAGCTAAGATATTAGATTTTTTTTCTTGTTTTTTGATGTTTTGTAGAGATGGGGTCTTGCCACATTCCCTAGGCTGGTCTATAAACTCCTGGGCTCAAGCAATCCTCCGACCTTGATCTCCCAAAGTGCTGGCCAGCATGCCCAGCCCTAATCTTAAGCATTTTTAAAAATGACAAAAGTAATATATACTAATTTTTTAAAAATCAAGCATTACGGAAATGTCCCAAACACAAAACCAGTGTTGCTGCCCTATGCTTATTTATATGATTCTTTTTCTGTTTCTTTTTTCTTTTTTCTTTTTTTTTGCATATTAGGTTTTGGGGTACATGTGAAGAACATGTAAGATTGTGCATAGGTACACACATGGCAGTGTGGTTTGCTGCCTTCCTCCCCTTTACCTATATCTGGCATTTCTCCCCATGTTATCTCTTTCCAACTCCCCATATTAGATTATTTTTAACTATTTTTATTATAGTTGTTTACTGTGAACAAAAAACATAGTCTGAACCATTTTCATCTTTTACATTTTTGAGGCTTTTTTCTTTTTTGATTTGCTGAAAATGTCTTTATTTTGCTTTCATTTTTGAGGAGTATTTCTACTGACTATAGAATTCTAGATTGTTCATTACTTTCTTTAGGTTCAAAGATTCAAAGCTGGGCTTCTTCTAATGGTCTGTTTCCAGCTTACTTTCACTCCTAGGATGTGGCCTGTCATGGTTTCACCTGAAATCCTGGCATATTTACCATAGTCTTCTTCCTTCACAGGCACTGAACTTTACCTTTTGTCCCCACAATTGAAGCAGAGAAAATGCATTTTCTCAAGTGGTGTTGAAAGTCAAGACCTTTCCTCCCCTTTCTGCCCCTGTGCCCTCCGCTCCAGGTCTTGCTCCAAGTCAGGCAGGACAGAGTTGAGACTGTCCTACATCAAGGTAAAGTAAGGGTCTATTACCGCAGTGTGTCTCCAAGGGGCAGTGAGTAGCATCTGCAACTGAGTCCTCACCATGGAGACCAGGCTTGGTCCCCAGGCTGGAGGATTTAAATATCAAAACGCTGGTAGGGGCATGCTGAGTTGAGCTGCTGCTTCTAAGGTCATCTGCAGTCTTGACAAGAATTTTCTTATTAACCAAGAAGTTGGTCAGGCCCCTAGGGACAGGCTCATGTACCTGGAGGACCCTTTGGAGACTCCCGGGCAGAGCAGAGAACTGCCTGGTAGGGGCTCCTGCCCTGGAGCTTCTGCAACCCTCCCTTGGGATTGCTTCATTACCAAAGGTACAAAATCAGAGGCTCAGAATTGAACATACATCCACACACTCGTGTTCATAGCAGCATTATCCACCATAGCTGGGAGGCAGCAGCAGCCCAACTGCCCACGGATGAATGAGTGAATAAACAAAATGCGGCATTCCCATTCAACGGAATATTATTCAGACATAAAAAAGAAAATCCTGTCACATGTTACAACATGTGTGAACCTTGAGGATGTTATACTAAGTGAAATAAGCCAGGAACACTACGTGATTCCACACATATGAGATATCTAGACTAATCAAACTCACAGAGGCAGAAGTAGACTAGGGGTTGCCAGGGGCTGGGGGAGAGGAGACTGAGATGTTATGGTTTAATGGGCACCGAGTTTCAATTTTACAACATGAAAAGAGTTCTAGAGATGGATGGAGGTGAGGGTTGCACATGGATGAATGTACTTAACACCACTGAACTGTACACTTAAAAATGCTTACAATGGCAAATTTTATGTTATACATATTTTACCACAAGCAAAAGTTCGGGGGCTCAGAGGAATTCAGAATCACAGAAGAGAAGACCTATGATGTGAAGGCAGCTTGCTCCCTTTAATGTTTTCTCTGGCATTGTCCACTGGTGCCCAACCTGGCAGTAGAGGAGGGAGTGGAAGGGAAGAACACCCCCTCCCTCACGTCCGCACTGCTGGCCTGCTTCCTCTCCTCTGGTCTCCCAGCTGGCCTAAGGGTTGCTGCCTTCTTCTAGAGCATTTGTGTTGCCTATGAGCACCAGGGGCTAATGTTAGCCACTCTGGAAGCTGTGTCTCTGCCAGCCAGACTTTTACAGAGTTCAACTGTCTCAAAATATCTCTCCTTGGATGTCCAATTATTATGTTGCTTTTGAGATCCATCGTTCTCAGAGAACCACTGAAACCAGCAAAACACAGCAG